CATGGACACATTGCTTCAGTCTGTTCCCCATTCCCATCCCCACAAAAAAGACCATCAACCAATATCATTTCATATAGTTCTAGAGGCACAGGTGTTCCATGTTTTTCTGACAAGACATCTCTAGTTAGATATTAATTTTGATAATTTAAGACTAGATAATAATGAAATGAAGTATAGAGGAGAAGGAAGAAAGCAGCTATTTTTATATCCTATCCACCAAAAATAATTCACACTATTTACCTATCAAAATAAAATCATATTATAAGTTACAAAGCTAGATATTTAAATTAAAATGTTGAACAGACTAGAAAGCTTGAAGAGAGGGGAAACTCTACATTGTCAATTGAAATGTCATTATTAGACACCAGACAAGCTTCTCTTTAAGAACATTCCACTAAATACTTATTACTAAAAAGCTCTTTCATTCATCAGTAGATAGTTGCTGGAGACCAGGACAGCCAAATAAATATTCTAAAGAACGTAGCAATTCTTTAAACTACAGTACTAAATTAGCTTGTCTGAAACTTTATCAGAAACTTTTATATAACAATTGTTTATTTTAGCAAGAAAGGGTGATTGATACTTTCAACATCAGGGACATCATGGCAGTCAAAGATGTACTGATACTAGTCCTCACTAAAATAAAATCAGTTTTCTTATGACTTTTCTTGCCAAGTCAAAATAATTACAGTCACATAAAAATATTTTTTGCAAAAATATTCTTGCAAAAACTTGGGGGTATCCTCAGAAGCAAAGAACTTAAACTGATCAGTGTAACAAGACCAACATTTCTATTAGAACAATATATTCCAGTCAGACTAGATGTAAGCAATTTACCTTCTCTCTCTCAAGAAACATTAAGCAGAACAACCATAGCAAAATACTGACACACTGCCCCTTATATGTCAAATCAGGATTTAATGAATTTTTCACCACTTCAAACTACTGAACAGATCCAATGGTGACAGGGAAAATATATGGTTTTACTCTAAATGTGTTCAGATCAAAATAATCATGTGTTTTTAGTAAGCATTTAAACAAGGGTATGACAACCTAGAGTCCTAGTTTGTCATACAAACTGTTATGCAGCCCTCAGATAATTTAAATATAGCCCACAAACCTAACTCTTTTACTTGCTTTAGTCCAGGACAAAAATGGCATCCACCGGACAGCGAAGAGCAAATGATGATACATGTTATGAGGTTGTGATAGAAGCCACATAAGTTATGTAGTTGTGTCAGACATCAGGACACAAGTATAAAATGCCATGGTTGTATCAAGTCATGATGCATGTTTCATAACTTTTTCCATTATTGCAGCTTCACAATTGTACTATTATGCACTTATTTGAAAGTAATTCCATTACATTTAGTGTGGCACATTTAATTATCAGTAAAATATAGATTCAATGAAATAAATACAATTAATACTGTATGTCCATGACAGAAAATATTCTATATTTATTTAATCAAATATTTTAAGATACGTTGTCACTCATACAAGTTTAGAATATGCTTGCTGAAATCAATGTGACAAGTTAGTCCTGATTAAGTCCTATTGATTTTCAGAGTTTTTTTCAAACATTTCCAATTATGTGAATTAGAATGATATTCAAATAACACTTACAATCAAGTACTCAGAAGACTCTTAATTAACTGTAAACTAAACCTTTAATGGGCAATTGATATAATGAGTAGTAATACTTAACACATTTTATGTGTTCTTACCAGTTATGAGATGCTATGAACAAGTTCCAAAACAATTAAAGTATTTCAACATGCAAGAAGGCAAATGTAATGTGTCTTAATCAAGATACAAATCAACAAATTGCAAGTGATATATAATTTATATAAAGCAACAGATGCATTACATCTTTATAGCAACTTGTGACAAAAGCCATAAAAAATAAACCATATTCATATCGAACTGTTTACTTACAAACTCCTTAAAAATTAATCAAAGAAATAGATTGTTTTCTGTACATTTGACTCTTAAACCCTTACCATTTCTTAATGTTATCAGTTAAAATTCAATCAATTTTTCAATCAAAGCAGCAGTGCAGGATGCTTCTCTAACTTGTTCCTCTTTAAAGTAAAGCTTCATTGATAGTATTAGTGAACTTACTCATATCAATGTATTAATCTCATATTCTCAGAATATCAATAAATACATTCACGACGATTTTCACGTGTGTCTGCCCATGGGAACAGAAGTATTAAATTTCCAGTCTTTACAACTCATATGTACCGTTAATATTATAGAGAAGATTAGTGCATTTGGTTATATTTCCTTAATTTTACAACTTTACATTTGCAAAGCTAATTCAAATTGAATACCAGTTGAAATGAAGAATAAAATATAGATTAGTTGCCATATCTCCATAGTCTGAGATTCTACAAGTTTTAAAAGGAAGGTAGTTCTAGTTTGAGACACCATTTTATTTAATTGTTTGTTTGTTTCATTTATAAGCCACCATCCCATGTTCAAGGGGACTGAGTAGCTGAGTATTATATTAGTGTGGCCATGCTAATTTCTGACAAGTCTTCCAAATTATATCTTATGATAAATGATCTACAGCAAATATCTATTCAAATATTATATAACTTTATATTCTGTTAATAAAATTGGAAAAGTCATTTTATTTCCTGTTAGTGAACAGAATTTAATTGGTTCCTACTACCCATGTGATTATCTCAGCTTGAGTATTTTCTTTAAAAAAAAATCAATAGATAAAAGTAAAACATGAAAAACATATAATTCTAAGAAATCTAAACAAGGTCTTAAATCTTTTATTTCTTTTAGAAAATTGTCCTTTTTTGTTGCCTTTTTTCCCACAAGAACTTTGCAGATTAATAACTACCATCTACTGGATATATAGATATATAATTTCTGTCAATGTAGTCACAAAAGTAGGAAAACATCATGATACTCATAATAATTTAAAAATACATTCTTCATAATTAAATTTTCACATAAAATTTAAAAATCTATATATCAACCACCTTTCTATTTTGTTTTACTAAAACATTCAAATCATGATCAAAAAGACAACATACAACTAGTGGTTTTCTGTTTAGTGTAGTTATCCAATGCATTAATTATAGTATGTCAGCATGTAGGGATTAAATTATGCAGTACAGTTACAAATATAGTGATCATATTCCACACCCAGACAGAAGTTCTGACATTTGCTATTTTACACCAAGCCACTACGATAGTGAATGGCTGCATATATTACACTCTTTTCTTCAATTTTTTGAAGGCTGGCACTGAAGGCTGGCAGAAATTTCTCATACAGTACTTTAAACTTTATAATTTATGCTTGATTTAGACAATGCAGGCTACATTTACTAAAGAGAAAGTGATTCTAAATGTAATAGAGTGGTTTTGAAAAAAACAAACAACTTCTTAGTACATGTAGAATTATCACAAAATAATGATATATAATTTCATCAGTATTTTTCACTGTATGTCCAAAACAAAAACTGATAAATGATTTAAAAAATCTATTCTTTATCTTGAGGGCCAAATTCAGTCTTCTCCACAAATGGAATATATTACCTTCCAATGGAATATATTACCAGGGAAACAGTTAGATCCCAATGTTGGCCACATATCAATAAAAAAAATATCCACTTCATCATTCTAATTAATTTTCACTCTTTTATATTTAAGCAAAAAAACCCAAATCAAATTATTGCCTACATTACAAAGTAGAAATTAGCACCTACTGCTCTAAGCTCCTCTGAATATTAAGGAATATGAAATTACTCTTTCTCATTCTCACCATAGAAACAAACAACTTAAGCATTTCAGGTTCACTTCAAGTTCAATTTGCAATGACATTTAACAAAAATGTAGCAAAATAAGAATCTTTTGCTTTGCTAAAGCATAATGATTTTCTTTTTTCAATAAATTCATACATACATTTCCTTGGTACCATTTCTCCTTAACAATATGAAAATTAAGCTTTTTCCTATAGTATAACTAAAAGGATGTGATTTTTTTTTTCTAGATAAAAGCAAACTGAAGAGTGTAGAGATGGCAGGTAACTTTTAAAACAATTTAATATTAGAATTATTGACCAAACAGTAATCTGATTTATTTTATTCCAACGCTATAACCAGATGACAAAATATTGTCACGTAATTATTTTACATCAGAAATTCAATGCTATCTTTTATAAATGTTGCATAGTATAGACACGGATACGTCTAGAGTTTCCAATACTACAATCAGAAAAATCGACAGGGAAATCTACACTATTCGTCTTCCGTAGATCGATATCCTTATTAGCGCTATAACCGTTACAAAGCCTTTGTTCAAGTTCATTTTCTTATATGATGGTTTTGATCATTGACACGTTTATACTTCCGTTACGTTGCACAATATGAACCTCTACACTTGACCACCTCAGGCCCAAAACCGGGACCAATAAAAATACACGCTAAATGAGTAAACTAACGGGCTTAGTACAAGTACTAGAAGGTCGTAAAATCTGCATTTGTATGATTTCCTTGTTCTCTTTCTTTCTTTCTTTTCTTTCTTTCTTTCTTTCCTTTCTTTCTTTCTTTCTTTTTCTTTCTTTCTTTCTTTCTTTCTTTCTCTTTATTTATTTATTTATGCTTATGCGACAAGTCAGCAAGTGGGAAAAAAGAAACAATATGCAACATGATCTTACGGAAGGTAAAAGTTCCATTCCGCCAAATGACTTTTTGGACAGTGACAAGCGACCGAATTTCTGGCTTTGGGAACCCGCTTACACGTGGCCGCGGGAAGGCACACCGTGGGGGGGGGGGGAAAGGGGCCGCCCGCCCAAGTTCCCGAAGCTATTCGACACCAAGGCCAGAGGGTTCCCCGTCGCTCCGTTGCCTCTGTCCGGAAAGCGAGGCGGCGCAGCGGCGGGAAAGGTCAGGCGAGCGTTAGCCTCGCTCGCTCCTTTGCTCCCTTCCCTTCCCCTCCCCTCCCCTCCCCCAGCTCCACGCACTTTCGGCTCTTACTTTTGCACGAGTTGGGGCAGGTTGGGCGTCTGAGGCATCCCCCTGACGAGACCGCTGTCGGCAGTCGGCGGGAAATGAGCCGAGCCTCGGGCATCTCTCTCAGGCTGTTCGGGGCCACTGGGGTCCGGGGCCTGGTTCATGACTACCCTGGGACCATTCAGTAGATGCAGGTTCAGCCGGAGATACCCGAATCTCCTTCGGAAACAGCCAAAGCGGGGGGGGGGGGGGGGGGGGGAGGCAGACAGCAGCGCCACACAGGAGCCTGGCTGAAGAGCGCGTCGCCCGGGAGCCCGGTGCAGACGGCGGCAAATACCGCTAGCGCGCTCCCGCCCGCCTGAAAGGTATCTCTGCTGAGGAGGCCGGCGAACTCTAGGGAAAGACATTTATGGCGACGCCGGGGACAGCGGAGCCAATGGAAGGAGGAGGTGCCACCTCCCCGTACCAAGAAATTTTTGGAGACTCGGTCATTTCGGGCCGTTTTTTTTGATTGGGCAAGCGAAGTTGCGAGGAGACGATGGGAACCCGTACTATATGGTGCTTAGATACTGTTTCACTGAGGCTGGGGATCAGTATCTGTCCAAGTTTCTGCTCAAGGAATGAGAAAATGAGGAACTAGGGGTCCTCGGGAATCTTCCCCAGCCTCTCCCCCTCCTCCCTTTCTGGTGTGTCCTGCTTTCTTCATGTTTTCCTTTCTGTCTCTGTCACACCCAAGACTGAGCTTGTCTCTCTACCTGCGACCTGTCAGATTGCACATTGTGAATGCCTGCTCTATAAATGAGAATCATTGCCCTTCTGGCATCGAAGAGGATTAATCGCAGATTAAGGCTGTGAAACACTAAAAAAGATCTCATGCGACGTGCAAAGTTGTAAAAGCACTGCCTCCACCCCACCACCTCCAAAAGACACATGAAAATAGCCATACGTGCAACTATTTTGGGAACTATTCCCATTTTATTGTATAGTGCTAGGCAGTGAAATGGGGTGTGTGTGTGCACATACTTGTAGAGACACCTGAAACAGCTTTCCAAACAGTCTCACAAACCTAAAGAAGATGGCTGCTTTAATGGTTTCAGGAGATGCTTTGGATACCTGTACTAGATGTTTCTGAAATGGAAAATCTAAATAAATAAGTGATCTTGAAACTTATGCATTGGTTGCCTCAAACAACAGTTGCAGATGCATATGGTTTCATAGTGCACAATATTCAAATGTTACACAGTACAAATGGTTATGTCTTAATGACCACAGTTGGACCAGCAACTCCATTGCTTAAGCTGTGTGGTTATTAAGCAAAACATCATGTGACCATGCTAGATTTACACTACCTCTGCTGTGGTCATTAAACAAATTACACATGTCATTAAGTGAGACATCACATAACCGCAACTTGCAATTTTATTGCCAGTTTCTCTACTTCCCACTGCTTGTCAGAAGTCAGCTATGAAACACACAAATGTCAATCACATGACTACAAGACACTGTTATGGTCATAAATGACAGCTGCTTATGAATCTCCCAAATGTCAATCATATGACTGCAGGGTCTTGTAAATGTGAGGAATGTCAATGAATTAATAATTTTTATTCGGTCAATGCCAGCAAAATTTAAAAGAACAAAACTAGAATGAAGCAAATAACTACAATAATATACCAAAAACTAGAAAAATAATTCATACACTATAACATTCACTATTACTAAGTTACTGTAGCTGTTATCCAGAAAATAAATCTAAAACATTAATAGATATAAAATAAAAATAACGGTATATATCCTCCAACAATTTATTAGTTGAGATCTATCAAGGCAAGAATAATATTTAAAACTGAAGTAATTATGTATTTAGCCAATTATATCTTAACTTTCATCGCAGCACTTGTATATGTAGTGACTACACACGTAATGAATGGTTCCATATCCTGAAGGAGGTTCATGTAAAATTTATCTGACCCTATGGGGAATTTATATATTGGAGGCACAGTGTAGATTGACTCTAAAATTTACAACATTGTAATATATGTGAGATGGTTTCAGTTTGCTCATCACCACGTCTCGGCAAATACACTAAGCCTCAGGGATTTTACTATACTGCCTTGAAGAACTACAGATGGAGGAATGTTATATTTAGATTTAAAGATTGTGATTCTCAGTTTAGGGAAAGCTAGATTTAGCGAATAGCAAAATTCCAATGCATCTCTGTTTCTCCAAATTCTATCACTGTTGACTTCTATCTGGAACTCCACCAGTTGTAAAATTACTTTTTCAGCACTGTCATAACTTCAAACAGTCACTAAACAGGGCGATTATTAAACAAAGACTGCCTGTAGATAAAATTAGATACTCTTTAAAGGAAAAAAAAATAAAATAAATGGGATTGGTTGGTGTATAAAATTAGGCATGCGGTAAAGAAGTATTTCATAGAACATAATTATCCACTAAAATTGACTGCTAGATGGTTTTGGACATACAAAAGGAAAGGGTTATTCACATGCTGAATAACTCAATTATAAAACATTTATTACAAAGTGTAGTAATGATTTTAAAACAACTAGAAAAAGGTCAAAGGAAGTCACTACTTTTTTTCTTCCTTTTTTATTTCTTTCTGTACTTTTCTCTTTATTTTTTGATTTTTTTGTTTCCATTTGTATTTACCTTATAATAAACTTTTTTTAAAAAGCACGCAGCATTTGCTTGCAGCTTCTGAGTACTTGTTCAGCTAAGACGTGCCTACTGCACATTGTGTCTAATCCTTCAAAAATCAGTTTAAGGTTTTACCTGAAATTATTGTCACTGCTACAAATCTCAGTCACTGAAAACACCCTGATCCAACCAGTACTAACTCAGACTGATTACATAGAATACTCAGTCTGTAGATTGAGGGAGACAGAGCGCTGTAATATGTGGCTTGCTTTCACGAGGTGGAAGGAAAAATTAGTCAAGAATTCCTGTCGAAGGATAAATGCCCTTCAGCATTTGCAGAGCTGCAGATGAGAAATAAGTGAACACTGCTTCCAAACACTGAAACGGCCAGATCCAGAGCTAATTCTGAACTGATGCAAACATCCCATGTGAAATTATCCTTTTGGATAGCCGAACATTACAAGCATCTGCAAGTAATAGTTACTCCTCCCCTTTTTTCTAGCTAAATAATAGTTGAAGTTTCACCCAGCAAGATAAAGCCTCTGCCTATATCACAAACAGAAACGCCTACAGCTCCTAATTAGAAGCACAGTAAAGATTTGATCAACACAGATCACTTTAACATTAGATGAATAAATTTGAAGTTAGGCAACCTGAGGTAAGGCAAAGCTGAGTTTTAAGGACATGTTCTTAAAGAGAAAATAGCAAGGTGTCTTCAGATTTCAGCTGAAGTATATGTACATAAGTCCCAACTCAAATGGTCAACTGAGGAGCCCTCAGCTCTGTTCTTTGTCATTAGCCAGCATGTAATTGAAATCCAACTTGTTCAACCCAGACTTCAAATAAAACAGTCTTTCAGTCACCCACTGCATGGAGCACACACAAAGACTTCTGTAATCTAATTTGTTAGCTGAAGAGGCAGTAATTTTGTCCTGCTGGAGTTGAATTACTTAAGGCCAAGGCACTGAGCCTTTTACTCTGTTACACACAGCATTGTGTATCGAAGGATTTAAAAGCTTTTAAAATAACACCAAACTAGAAATATAAGAACAGTACTTTATAGTTCCTCTTTTGTGCCTAACACACATTTATGTCTGGAATCTGGTCTGCATGAGAATATGCCAGCTGAAGTACTGGCTGAAACTAAATTATTCAAAAGATTGGTGTCCTTTTTAATTGTTGATAGATTTGGTTATTCCTATAAGAAGGAAGTTGAAGTTACTGTGGTCCTTAAGCCCAGTTCTTGCTCAAAGGATACAATGAAGCAACTTCAGAGATTAAACCAGCATTTTTGGAATACAACTTTTTTAGGTAGAAAACATATTTTTTTTTAAATTAGAAAAATATTTTTTTAAAAATTAAATTTTATAGAAAATTTAATCTACCCCAATAGTGATCAATATAATGTGAATCTTTGATGCTAGCCAGCTATTTTACTAATAACATATATTCCTCATTGGAGACATTTTCATTGACTACATTTAATGTGTTGCCCTCTTGGTACTTAAAGGGAGATATAATAATAGCGGTTTATACAAATACTTCAGAAAAATTAGATGAGATTCTTATATTTTATTGGGTCCTCCTATGTACCAATCCTGGCTCTCTGACATAATATTTTAATCAGCTTGCTGAAAAAACTTATTGTTTTCCTTTTTGCAGATTTGTCCAAAGAAATTACCAGAAGGCTTAGTGAATTTTTATCTATAAATACTGGGGAAAGGAATCTACAGTAATTTTCTGGAATTATTAATTTGGTGATTGCATTTGATTGCAGGTTAATTACCATTTTGATTTTATTTTAAGTGTGTTATGTTTTTATTTTCTTACTCTTTTTAATGTGAAGTTATTGTATATTGCTTTGGGTTTCTACAATATGTAAACATGTTTGATAACCAGAAAGGAAATTGAAAGAATGGAAAATGGATACAGTACCAAGGAATAAAAAAAACTGCAAAGATCATCTCACTTTTTCTCTATTTGGGTAGCATGGATCTTCAAACATTAAAATTTCTTCAGGAGCTAAATTTTTCCAATCATATACTGGATGTGAGGGTGAAATTTTTCCATCCATATATTAAAACTGTATGCATTATATTGTTGCTATTCCTATTTAATATTACCCTCTCAATCATGAGCAGAACACAATAAAACATTTTTAAAAATCAGTATATCACCTTTAAAAATATTAAAAAGAATTTATAATTCATGTTAACAGACTAACAATATTTTGCTACTTACAATACTTACGAAATACAATTTTGGGAGATATATCTTTAAAAATAATATAGGAAAGCACAGGTAAATTTCAGCAACCTATAATAGGTAAAACCAAATACAATAGAAAAATAATATTCAGAGGAAGTAAAAATCTATATAGATTGGAGCTAATGAATAACAAATAACAAGGCAGTGAGTTCTTCCTATTTACAAATCAGTATCATGTTTTATTTTGCTTCCATTGCTATTTAACAAACTCAAATGCTGCTTATAGTTAATTTATCTAAGGTATATCCATGGATAGAAATGCATACATATTAGAACTCTATAAATAATGTCCTTATAAAATGTATGTA